AGTTAACAAAACAGAACTGTATGTTTGAAGGTTGCTATGAGAATGGGTATCAAAATTTTCATCCTAAAAAAAGAAAATCATAGTCCTGTAAAGTGATAGACATTAAGTTCTTGTGATTATATATGTGCAAAAAATAATTTTGCTGTATACCTTATACTAATACAGTGTTATATGTCAGTTATAGTTCAATAAACCTGAAGAAAACTATTTCAAATAAAGAACAAAGAAGCCATCCAGCCCCACCCACCCTCACAAAAGTAAAATCCATTTTTACACCCTCTCTGCATTCTCAGCCCAGCAGCACACTTCTGCCCAGGACTTATCCCCTGCATGCCTACTGGGATTGATTATCTTCTCTTCTTTGTAAGGGCCTTGTTCTATCAGTCATTGCCTCTCAGCCTCTCAGCCTTAAATGCTTTTTGGAGTAATAAACATAGTCAATTGTGCCACCTTTAAAACAAACCAAGTAAAAAACTAATAAACACAGACACACATCACAACTATCATTGTCAGCTAATATGCTCCTGTCTGAAAGGTCACCTCATCCTCCTTTTCATACTGTTATCTTCTACTCATATTTAATTCTCAGGAAATACTTCTGGAAATCCCACTGTGACCCCCAGATTCCCACTTCCTCCTATGTACAATCCTAAGTTGCACAATCACTGTCATTGGTATCTCAAGAGCCCAGAATAGGCTGTGGAACGCTTGTATCTGTAGGCAGGTCACCTCTGGGTCCCCAGCACCTGGCACAGTAACCCAGGCAGAACAAGCACTTTGTAACACCCACCGTGCTGAACGCGTCACCATCGACCTCAACTCACCATTTTCTCTCGCTGTATTTTTTTCCCATCATAAGTTTATTTAAAATACTGAGCTGAAGTCTCTTTAGCAAAGCCTAACTTCTTCCACCTGTCTTTCTACATCCTTGTCGCAACATTTTGTGACTATTTATTAACATATTTTTATCTACCACTAGAATCTGAGCTCTAGGATCTAACAACCTAGCATGATTTATCTTGCCATTGGAGTACCTGTGATATAGAAGGTCTCAAAAAGTATCTAAAGAAAAGGGAGGAAGGAAGGAAGGAATGTGAGGGATGACTTGAGCAGAAGAAGGAGGAAGAGGAGCGGGAGGGAGTTTGCATAACACAATAAGGTGAAACTTATGACAACAAAAGATACACAGTTCCAACAATCTCCCTTGATTTAATATAAAAGTGGTAATTATTTGTTAAAAAGTTAACAATTAGTTAAGTCACTCAGTTGTGTCCAATGTTTTGAGACCCCATGGACTGCAGCATGCTGGGCTTCCCTGTCCATCACCAACTCCTGGAGCTTGCTCATATTCATGTCCATCACCAACTCCTGGAGCTTGCTCAAATTCATGTCCATCGAGTTGGTGATGCCATTCAACCATCTCATCCAGTCTTCCCCTTCTCCTCCTGCCTTCAATCTTTCCCAGCATCAGAGTATTTTCAAATGAGTCAGTTCTTCACATCAGGTCCCAAAGCATTGGTACTTTATCAGCATTGGTCTTTCCAATGAATATTCAGGACTGATTTCCTTTAGGATTGACTGGTTGGATCTCCTTGCAGTCCAAGGGACTCTCGAGTCTTCTCCAACACCACAGTGTAAAAGCATCAATTCTTTGGCACTCAGCTTTCTTTATGGTCCAACTCTTATATCCATACATGACTACTGGAAAAACTATAGCTTTGACTATAGGGACCTTTGTCAACTAAGTAATGGTTCTGCTTTTTAATATGCTGTCTATGTTGGTCATAGCTTTTCTTCCAAAGAGAAAGTGTCTTTTAATTTCATGGCTGTAGTCACTATCTAAAGTGATAAAGTCTGTCACTGTTTCCATTGTTTCTCCAACTATTCGACATTAAGTGATGGGACCAAATGCCATGATCTTAGTTTTTTTAATGTTGAGTTTTAAGCCACCTTTTTCACTCTCTTCTTTTACTTTCATCAAGAGGCTCTTTAGTTCCTTTTCACTCTCTGCCTTTAGGGTGGCATCATCTGCATATCTGAGGTTATTGATATTTCTCCCGGCAATCTTGATTCCAGCTTGTGCTTCATCCAATCTGGTGTTTTGTATGATACACTCTGCATAGAAGTTAAATAAGCAGGGTAACAGTATCAGCCTTGATGGACTCCTTTCCCAATTTTGAACCAGTCCATTGTTCCATGTCCAGTTCTACCTGTTGCTTCTTGGCCTGCATACATATTTCTCAGGAAACAGGTCAGGTGGTCTGGTATTCCCATTTCTTGAAGAATTTTCCACAGTTTGTTGTGACCCACACAGTCAAAGGCCTTGGCATAATCAATAAAGCAGAAGTAGGTGTTTTTCTGGAATTCTCTTACTTTTTCTATGATCCAACGGGTGTTGGCAACTTGATCTCTGGTTCCTTTGCCCATTCTAAATCCAGCTTGAACATTGGGAAGTTCTCGGTTCACAGATTGTTGAAGTCTATCTTGGAGAATTTTGAACATTACTTTGCTAGTGTGTGAGATGAGTGCAATTGTGTGTTAGTTTAAACATTCTTTGGTATTGCCTTTCTTTGGGATTGGAATGAAGACTGTCCTTTGCTAGTCCTGTGGCCACTGCTGAGTTTTCCAAATTTGCTGGCATATTGAGTGCAGCACTTTCACAGCATCATCTTTTAGGATTTGAAATAGCTCAACTGGAATTCCACCATTTCCACTAGCTTTGTTTGTAGTGATGCTTTCTAAGGCCTGCTTGACTTCATACTCAGAATGTCTGGAGTTAACAGTAAGTTTACTTCATGAAATACAAGTTCTATTCTATATCTACTCAAACTCTTTCAAAGTCACAATCAAAATTTATTTATTGGTTATGCTGGGTAGCATGTGGGATCTCAGTTCCCTGACCAGGGACTGAATCCATGTCCCCTGCATTGGAAGAAAAGAGTCTTAACCACTGGACCACCAGGGAAGTCCGATAAACCAAATTTATGATCTATCCCATTTCCTCACTTATCTCAAGGACTATTATTGATCCTCATACTGAGGATCATATATAACTTACACATCTAAAAGAGATAGCATACAGCAATAATAGTAAAGTAATACAATTCATGTGCCTGGGCCTTTGCAGGACATGGGGCATTATCACACAGGCAAATCATCTATCTCTGGACCACACGAGGAGCTATACTGAACAGGTGCTGTTATTTTCACTTTACAGTGGAGAAAACTGAACTTCAGAGAGGTTACAAGGAATGCACGTCTCAGAGCAGTAAGTAAATTGAAGTAGAAGGTGAAGGTAAAAAGAAGAAATACTAGATTTTCTGTTTTAAAAATGATTCAGTGGGAGAAATGTAATCTTAATCAGTGACAACAAATACTTATTCAGCATTTACCTCTTGGAGCCCAGTGCTGTCTTTCCTGCGATAGTAATTTCATCAAAAGAAAGAGCAGGTATCACTTCATAGCCCTGCAGACAGCAATTTTTTTGAGTGACCTGAGCCTTTCAAATAATTTACTCCCTGAACACTTCTAAATTTAGAGTGGCAGGGAAAATAATCATTAACTCTTTAACATCTAATACAGTTAGCATACAACAGCATTTTCTTGGTTAAGCATGTGATATAGTAAGGAGTTTCTTTGTGTGTGTGTGTGTGTGTGTGTGTGTGTGTGTGTGGTGTGTGCATATACTTCAGAAAGTTCTTAGATAATGGAATATATATTGATTCAGGAGAAACACACTGTTCCCTCTCACCCAGAGAGAGAAACCTTGGTTTTCTTCTGTTTTATTCTGCCCACCTAGGGTTCCTATCACCATATTGACTTATTTGCTTTATTTGCCTTTGTGTGTGCTTGCATGCTAAGCTGCTTCAGTTGTGTCTGACTCTTTGTGACCCTATGAACCATAGCCCACCAGGCTCCACTGTCCATGGGATTCTCCAGGCAAGAATACTGGATTGGGTTGCCACATCCTCCTCCAGACGATCTTTACAACTCAGGGACCAAACCTGCGTCTTTTATGACTCCTGCATTGGCCGGCAGTTTCTTTACCACTAGCGCCACTTGGGAAACCTTTATTTGCCTTTACTAGTTATTTTTTCAGATGCTTTCATGTGGCCCTTCTTTAGCCAATTTTAGAGCCACCTGGAGCAACATTTTTTAAATAACAAACCCAATAAACAAAAGAACTTAACAGATCTCTAGGTCCACTGCTATTTAAATGTTAATGCTTTTTAAGTATGCCCCAAACTAACACACTGGACTGCACCAATGAAAATACTTGTTGTATCCAAGTCATGGTTTATGGATGATTACTGACTCTTTTTCTAAAAACAATTTTAATGGTTTGTATCTCCTTAATAAGTAAGGAAAATATTACAGTCTTGCAATTGTGGCATCCTTGCTTTTGAGAGAGTCAATTCCTACACAGGTTCATAAGAAGTCAAGGGTTCCCAAGGAGGAGAAAGAGTTCCTGAGCCCTGAAGAAGGAGAAAGGAGTCTGGGACTCTCACGGAGAAAAGGACAAACTTTCTTTTCTATGTTGCTTTGTCTTAGTCAATATAACAATGTATCCTGCTCCAGGACATGTTTCTCCTTAACAAGAACCTTCTGACTAATTCTGTCATCTTAAAATATATAATATGGGAGTGGGTCTGGTAAGAACTTTCTATTGTTGGTTCTAATCTTGTTAATTTANTATATTTATTTATATATTTTTATTATATATTATATTTATTTATATTAGATTTATATATATTTATATATATATAAAACCTATTTGATATCAAATAAATTTTCACATCAAATAAATGTGGTTGGGTTAAAACTTTCATTTATAATTTGTCCCCAAGGAAAAAATCATGACCTATTTACCCACAATCTGTATCATGACTGCTTTCCAACATGTTTTGATGAAAAGGAGAGATTTCTTGACACTTATGCTCTGTTTTACAGTACTAAACATGGGGAGGCAAGCTAAGTTTAAAAAAAAATAAAAGACTTACCCACTCCTCCTCATCATAGTCTGAATGGTGTGGAATGGAGTCCTGCCGTCTCATCGGCAGGGGTGGGTCCTGGGAACTGCTCTCCTCTGCGCCACTCTTAGGAGAGGGTGGTTTCGTCAGGACACCTCCTGGCCTGGCGGTGTAAAGTGCTAAAAGGGCACTTCTGACCAGCTGATCCTTGAAGGCATGTACAAAAAGCTCTGTCTGGAAAGAAATTGACAAGGATTAGAAACGCCATGGTAGGCACCTCAGCAGAGAGCTCTGGAAAGGTCAGTGGCAGATCTGCTGACACTTAAGCGGTGTGGATGGTGGAAAAAGTACATGCAACAGACAGAGAAAATGATTCATACCAATCAATGGAAAATAGCTTGCTTTCAGGCTGCTGCCAAGGCCTTGAGTTCTAAAGCTAATGCTGAGGTTCTATATGCACTATGAACACCATCTGTCTCCTTGACCCCCCTTCTCTTTTTTTTTAAATCTTGTCGTTAGAGATGGATTTCACTGGGGATTATCATTTGAACACCATCTACCTGCTGTGTCTTTCAGGTAATTTCCAAATATGCCTTTAAAAACAATGTTATCAGACTATGTTTATTTTGTGTTTTAAACAGAGTTACAAGTTGTAGAATGACATATCTTTGCAAAAAAAAAAAAGAAGAAAAAATAGAGGCAGGAGACCTTGATTGTTTTTAGCATCATGGACAGATTTCACAAGTAGAGATGACACAGGCAGTCTTCCTCAGGAAAACATTTGGCTTTTATTCCCTATTATTACCCTCTAAACTGTCTCCTCCACCAAATGGTTTCAGTAATGTTCAATGTTAACGAGGTTACCGTGAAATTTGCCATGGTAGATTTTTACAAGCTGGTGGTAAATACCAAGTAAGTACTACTGTAATGATGCCTTTCCAACAATAAAGAACTTTACAGCTGTACTTTGCATTTTCCTGATGAAATGTTTAATGGCTTCACCCTGTTATATACTGGAGGGTGCAGTCATTGATTTTCTGTATTATAGTACACTGAACATGCAAGTGGCCTAACAATCTGTTCAGAGTAGAGAAATAACACAAGCATTGACTCACACTGTTAACATATTTATACTTTGTAACCTGTCGGGAAGGGGCCCCTTAACCCACAGCATTATGGGGAAGAACACATCATTTACTGAGATGATCTTGGCTAAAATGTTGTCTTTACCAATGCTTTAACTCAAGGTAATCATTTACTGGTGCTCTCTAAATCAATCCTAATGTATATCAACCCTGACTATTCATTGGAATGGCTGATGCTGAAGCTGAACCTCCAATACTCTGGCCACCTGATGCGAAGAGCTGACTTACTGGAAAAGGCCCTGATGCTGGGAAAGATTGTAAAAAGCAGGAGGAGAAGAGGGTGACAGAGAATGAGATGGTTGGATGGCATCATCGACTCTATGGACATGAATCTTAGCAAACTCCGGAAGATGGGGAAGGACAGGGAAGCCTGGCTTGCCGCAGTCCATAGGGTCACAAAGAGTTGGCCTGGACTGAATGGCTGAACAACAACAAGAACTCAATAGGTGGTCTACAGTGCCATGCCCAATCACTGTTACTAAATTGTCTCTAAATTTCCCTGTTGTGTCAGCAATTACAGAAAACCAGTTAAACCATGTGCACCTAATAAAACTAAGTCACATCTGTAGAGCTACATCTTTGCAACAGATTGCGAAATTCTAGAGCTAGAAGGGACCTTGAGTGGACCTCTTCACTAACAAGATAAAAAAACTAAGAAAAAAGCGTGGTGANGTAAAGTAAAATTAATTAATTAATTTAAAAGAAAAAAAGGAAAAACCATAAAATAAATAAATATTAAAGACATGAATGTACTTCCACTCAACTTAACCAAGCTATTTCTCTCCTGATAGTTTCAATAAATTCTTTTGATTTATTTTTAGAGCAAAACAGCTTGACTTCTTTGACTTCTGCTACTATAGCTCTAGTCTCCATAATGCTCACTAATTACTATGTAGCTGCATAGTATTCACACCCAATGAAGTTTCCTATGGTTCTTGTAATCACCACTATTTCTTCTCATGGTAGCACACACAGAGTTTCTCAGTTTATTCAAATCTCATTTGGGTTGATTTAGCACCAGTGACATGGGAGCTAATGTATACATTCATGGAGTTTTAAAAACCTAGAATTTTTTTTTTGGGGGGGGCAGGGGTAGCTGAAAATAATGTTCAAAATCTTAAACAGAATAAAAACGAAACTTCTACTTTGTGTCTATATTCTAACATTTATCTGACTCCCTTGGAAACTCTCTGGATCACCCAGATCCTGAACATAGAATCAAATTTTATTACACAATAGCAAAAATATTGTACTGCAATTTCCATGTGACCTGGAAAAATCTTAATTTTCTTGACCAGTGTTACTTGCTACATGTGGACCAATATAGACCCAGATGTTTTACCATCAAAATAAATTAGTTTGAAGAGATTAATGGAGTCACTCAATCCTATTATAGCTGTATTGCATTATCTCAGTTGCTGTCCTTGAGATAATACCAGTGAAGTCAAACATCAAGGAAGGAAGCAACCATGTCTCTCTGAGCTACCTACTGACTCCGAGTTCTGAAAGCATTTTCCTTTTCTTACTTAGCTCCCACTACAATAAATGAAAGAAGAAAGGTTGTCTAAATATTATTGTAAGGGTGGGAAAAATAATTCATTTAAAATATTAACATAATAATACAGTAAAAAAAGCATAAACTCTGAACCCAAGGCAGATCTATTTCATTTGTTCTATATTAAAAAAAAGAGAGAAAGAAAAGAAAATGTCTTCTTGCCTTTCTGCCATGTTCCCCATTCATATGCTCATACAAGTATCCTTCAAAGTAACACACAGAATTATCTGCAAGTACAAAACTACTAAAAATTACTCCTCTTGGGGATACATTTGCTAGCTTCCTGAATATTAATGCAGGATGAATACTTAGAATATATTCATTTAAACTCTCTCTTTTAAACTAGAGAACTCAACAAATTAAGCAAAGTCCCATTCCTTTTAGAATCTCCTTATATTCACTGAAAACATCCAAGGCCATGCCTAATCTCACTGGCAATACGAAATGCCATAAACAAGTAATTATCATTTTAGTAGTCATGCATATGACATAAAAAGCATCCTGCTTATTTTTAAATGTTGTTGTTCAGTTGCTCAGTTGTGTCTGATTAATTTTTAAATTAGTACGCTTTAATTATTTCATGGGCTTCCCAGGTGGCACTAATGGTGAAGAACCCACCTGCCAAGACAGGAGACAGAAAATCCACGGGTTTCACCCCACGACTTCATGGGGCAACAGTGCTTACTTGACATTAGCACCCTGATTGGTGTTTGGGGCGGCTGCTGCTGAGTCGCGTCTGACTTTTGGCGATCTCATGGACTGCAGCCCGCCAGGCTCTTCTGTCCGTGAAATTTTCCAGGTAAGAATACTGGAGTGGGTTGCCATTTCCGCCTCCAGGGGATCTTTAAGACCCAGGGATCGAACCCAGGTCTCTTGCATCTCCTGCATTGACAGGCAGATTCTTTTACCACTGAGCCACCTGGGAAGTCCCCTTGATATGTGTTTAGCATTCCCTAAGCAAAGAACATTGAGCTTTCAGCCAGGAGAGTTATCTGACATCTGGGCAGGTTATATAAACTATCCCCTTGACCTTGGCTAAAATCACATAACCGCTTTTTCCCCGTATGTACAAAATTACAGTGCCTATGTGTGAAACCCTTATCGGAGTTCACTGTAAAGAGTACTCTTCTATTTATTCTTCTTTTTCTTGACCCAACTTTTCAGTTTCTGTTGCTGACTCACAATCCCCTGCTCACTCAAAATGTAGATAAGTGGACTCTAAGGGACCGTAAACCACTTTCTTTTTTTAATTTATTTTTTTAAATTTTGTGGTCACACTACGTGGCATGTGATCTTAGTTCCCTGACCAGGGATTGAACTTGTGCTCCCTGTGTTGTAAACACAGAGTCTTAACCACTGGTCTGCCAGGGATGTTCCTAAACCACTTTCTTAAAAGCGTTTTTTCTACTGGTGATGTCATTCTATCACTTCAAGAGTCATTTTTTGTTATGCCAAGGTCTTCATTTCTGCCTACCTCCTGAATCAGCATGGTAAAGGGTTTCCATCTGCAAGTCTTCTGAATTTACAACCTCAGCCTGATCTCAAGTTTTTAAAATAAATGTGCTCTTCCCTGTGTTTCCATCTGAGGGGTACCATTACTGTTCAGCAAATCTGAGTCCAAACATCTGGAGCATCTTCAGGAATATTATCTTCTGGGTTAGTGATCAATTTCTACTGGTTAGACCTTTTCAGTAATTTCCAAGATTGACTCTTGTATTATATTCCTACAGCTAATCCTAGTTAATAACCTTTCCGTGTTCCATATTGATATTTCCATAGTCTTCTTAAGGTTGATTCCATTTTCTTTAACCTTTCTTTTTTTCAGGATGTTATCCAAATAAAATATTGTCATCTGAGTTCCAGCTCAGAACTCCTGAATCAGAATTTGTATTTTAGCAAAAGCTCCCCAGAAGCAGTACTGACATTTCGTGATGCTCAATATTCAAATCTCTCTGTTCTTACTCAGCTTAGTTGTTGCTCAAAGGATGATCTTCACAAAGCAAGTCACTGGGTTTCCAATCTCATCAACCTTTCAGTACCTACAGAATAGACCTTCTCTCAGGTAAATGAGATTAAGAGGGCTAGAACATATTTCTTTTTTAACTTTATGAGACACTGCTGAACTGGTTTTCAAGCTGCAAATGTGTACCCATCAATGATGGATGAACGTTCCAGTTATTTCATATCCTTCCCAACTCTTCCTACGCTCAGGCCTATTGATTTTAACTCCTCTAGTGGGTGGTTTCCTGTGCTTAGTCACTCAGTCGTGTCTGACTCTTTGAGACCCCATGGACTGTAGCCCACCAGGCTCCTTTGCCCATGGGGATTCTCCAGGCAAGAATACTGGAGTGGGTTGCCATGCCCTCCCTCCAGGGGATCTTCCCAACTTAGAGACTGAATCCAGGTCTCCTAACTTGCAGGCAGATTCTTTATCATTTGAGCCACCAGGGAAACCCAAGGGGTAGTTAGTGGAACCTCATTTTAAATTTGCATTTCCCTAATAACAAATGATAATGAGTATCTTTTCATGTGCT